TGTGTGTGTGTGTGTGTGTGTGTGTGTGTGTGTGTGTGTGTGTGTGTGTGTGTAGAGAAGCCTCCAGCTGCTCCAGTGACTCCGACAGCAGTTCAGACTCTGACAATGAGAAGAGCAGCAGCCCGGTGCGACCACTGTCTCCTGAGGACACACACACACAGGTACATGTGCGCACACACACACATACACACACATGACCAACACACACTCCTTAGGAGAGAAGCTTCTGTCTCAACACACACTCCTGTTGTGTGTTTGTGTTTTCTGTTTGTGTGTGTGTGTGTGGCCACAGAAGGGAAATGATTGGCCAATGGGCCGCTGGTATAGAGCGAGAGAGCACCAGCTGAGCCCTGGGAGCCCGCGTGATGTCATCGTTTGCCATGATGCCCCTGCTCAACCGGCCGACAGCAGCACACACACCGATCGCAGACGCACTGTTGTGTGTGAGACTCTGCTGACGGAGAGCACACACACTGCAGATGCGTCCACACACACGCACAAACACAGGAGAAAGGAGTCCTGTCAGGCAGAGCAGAGGAAGAGCACCACAGGCGGACACGGCGGCAAACACACTGGCGGGAAAGCTCCACGCCGGCCGCTGCTGGTGAAGATCCAGCTCAACCTGCTCTCCAGAGTTCCCCGAGAGCCCGACGGAGACCCGCACAGAACCTGCGGAGCCTCGGCACGCAAGAGAACTGTGAGATAATGCTAATGACCAGAACGAAGGAGTGTGTATGTTCACATTAATCTAGTGTGTGTGTGCTTGCGTGTGCGTGTGCGTGTGCGTGTGCGTGTGTGTGTGTGTGTGTGTGTGTGTGTGTGTGTGTGTGTGTGTGCAGGCAGAGGCGATTGAAAAACCTTCCAAGAAGAAACAGAAACTGGACAAAGAGGGAAAACTGTCATCATCAGTTCAGCACAGCCAATCAGAGTGAGTCACAATCAGCATCAGAACACATCAGCCAATCAGAGTGAGTCACAATCAGCATCAGAACACATCAGCCAATCAGAGTGAGTCACAATCAGCATCAGAACACCATCAGCCAATCAGAGTGAGTCACAATCAGCATCAGAACACATCAGCCAATCAGAGTGAGTCACAATCAGCATCAGAACACATCAGCCAATCAGAGTGAGTCACAATCAGCATCAGAACACCATCAGCCAATCAGAGTGAGTCACAATCAGCATCAGAACACATCAGCCAATCAGAGTGAGTCACAATCAGCATCAGAACACATCAGCCAATCAGAGTGAGTCACAATCAGCATCAGAACACCATCAGCCAATCAGAGTGAGTCACAATCAGCATCAGAACACCATCAGCCAATCAGAGTGAGTCACAATCATTATCAGAACACATCAGCCAATCAGAGTGAGTCACAATCAGCATCAGAACACATCAGCCAATCAGAGTGAGTCACAATCATTATCAGAACACATCAGCCAATCAGAGTGAGTCACAATCAGCATCAGAACACGTCAGCCAATCAGAGTGAGTCACAGTCAGCATCAGAACAAGTCAGCCAATCAGAGTGAGTTGCAGTGTTTGCTCCATTCAGAGTGGACAGTGTGTTATTGTACTGAGATGTTGTGTGTGTGTGTGTGTGTGTGTGTGTGTGTGTGTGCGTGTGCGTGTGTCACTGATGGTCCACTGTTTCCCTCAGCACCGGCCAGATGAAGAAGCGCTCGCGGCACTCCTCAGGGCTCGGTCCTCGACCCGCAGTCGCCTCGGCCCGCCCACAGGAAGGCGCAGAGGCTCATTGGAAGGTTGGGTTCAGTCTGGTTGGGTCCGGCAGACTCTCAGCTGTGAGCTGTTCTGCTGAGACCCTCAGATCTGAAGAGCTGTTCTGTTCTGTTCTCTAGAAACCCGGCAAGAGCTGCAGAGAGCTGGAGCAGACCGAGAACACTGGAGCACTGCTGCCGGAGCACAGGTGCACAACACACACACATTACACACATTACACACACACACAGTCATTCCTTCGTTCAGTGAGCTCTACTAACGCATGTTGACCTCTGACCTCAGGCAGCGCTCTGTGGAGGATCACCTGAAGGAAGCCAAGAAGCTGAAGCACAGAGCGGACGCCACGGTGATTACCAGGCCTCGCTCCCTCATGTGGTAGAGGTCAGAGGTCAGACTGATGTGTGTGTGTGTGTGTTCCTCAGGTGGAGAAATCCGCCAAGGCTCTGCTGTACCTGGAGGCGGCGCTGGCGTTCGTGCAGAGCGGAGTCGCCATGCAGGAGGAGCCGCACACACACACGCGGTCATCATACACCATGCTGTCCGAGACCCTGGAGCTCATCAGGTGATGAAGATGGTGGAGATGATTAGGGTGAAGGTGATGATGATGATGATGATGATGATGAGGAGGATGAGGATGGTTATAATAACAGTGATGATGATGAAGGTTGATCTTCCTCTGCAGGTTCATCCTCAAACTGAAGAACTATGCCGACTCTTCCTCTGAGCGGGATTTCTTCATCCTGTGGTGAGTTCAGGAGTGCAGCAGTGTTCCAGACGCTGTCCACAGCTGCACATCACTGAGGGTGTGTGTGTGTGTGTGTGTGTGTGTGTGTGTGTGTGTGTTCCCCAGTCTGCGCTGTCAGGCTCTGCTGCAGATGACCATGTTCCGCTACAGACAGCAGGTGGCGCTCAGATACTCGCGGACACTCACGGAGCATTTCCAGGTGTGTGTTCAGTGTTGATGCTAGCCTGCTGCAGTGTGTGTGTGTGTGTGTGTGTGTGTGTGTGTGTGTGTGTGTTCAGTGTTGATGCTAGCCAGCTACAGTGTGTGTGTGTGTGTGTGTGTGTGTGTGTGTGTGTGTGTTCAGTGTTGATGCTAGCCTGCTGCAGTGTGTGCGTGTGTGTGTGTGTGTGTGTGTTCAGTGTTGATGCTAGCCTGCTGCAGTGTGTGTGTGTGTTCAGTCTGCTGTTGTGTGTTTTCAGAGCTCGTCCTGCTCTGCGTCCCCCAGTGTGTCCAGGTGAGCGTCTCCTTCTGCACTGATGATCATCACGCAGCCGGCTCTGCAATGCTCTGTGTGTGTGCATGTGTCTGTGTATGTGTGTGTGTGTGTGTGTGTGTGTGTGTGTGTGCATGTGTCTGTGTGTGTGTGTCTGTGTGTGTGTGTGTGTGTGTGTGTGTGTGTGTGTGTGTATGTGTATGTATGTATGTATGTATATGTATGGATGTACGCGTGTGTGTGTGTGTGTGTGTGTGTGTGTGTGTGTGTGTGTGTGTTACAGGGGTGGTGTTGTCTCCCCTGTGGACGCGGGCGTGTCACTCGTCATTTCTCCGCCGGTGCAGCAGATGGCGCTGGCGTATGTCAACATCACAGCGCTCGTCCTGAACGCTCACGACACCTGGGAGCAGGCGGAGCAGCTGGCACACAGCGGCAGCGGTGAGACCCTACACACCTGCGCTCACTGTCATTATGGGCTGTGTCCTCTGCTGGTGTGGCAGATCTCCACAGTGAACACTGATCTCAGACCTGCTGCATTAGTCAGTGTTATTGCTGTAGTAATGTTGTGTCTCTCTCTCACTGATCTCAGGTCTGCTGCAGGATCTGGATGCGTCCGTCGGGCCTCTGAGTCTGAGCTCCCCCATCAGTGCACTGCTGCAGTACACACACCTCGGCCTGCAGCGCCTCAGACTGCACACACACACACACTGAAGAGCAGCTCAGTCTACGCACACGCACACACACACACACACCGTGTTGCTGTCGGAGCAGAGGTGCTTTTCCGTTGTGTTTTGCTGAGCTGCAGTGTTATTGATTAGCTTATTGATCAGGGTATTGATCAGGGTATTGATCATCTTTTTCATTGTCATATGTGACCTTTGACTCATGTTGGTGTGTCTGACCTCTGACCTCATGCTTGTCTTCAGTTGTGACACACTCAGGGAGTGGTTGTTTTCTTCAGGACAGTACTGTGTGTGTGTGTGTGTGTGTGTGTGTGTGTGTGAGTTTGCAGATGTTTATTAAATGGTTTATGATGAAGTGCAGGACGGAGCTCTGCAGGCCTGTGATTGGTCGTTCTCTTATTTCCTGTCTGATGTCCTGTGGAGCTGCTCGGACTCAGACTGTGTTCAGCAGACTCGTGTCCCT